ATCCAAAGTGCAAATATGAAAATAAAATATATTAGATACACTCACAATATTCAGAGCTTGAAGATAAGGCTCTATAAAGACGCAGATGTGCTCTTATAGGCAGCACCCACCTTCTTGGACGGAAATCACCCTCAGGGCAAACAAATATAAATAAAGCTTATGGTGCAGTATGTCTATATATATATATATATATATATATATATATATATATATCTTAGACCCAGAACAAAATATAAAAGAGACAATCACCTTATTTAGAGCCTATTTTTGGCCTCGGCTCTAAGGTGGAGACGCCTGCCCCAATCCGGAACCTGAAACAGAACAAACTGGCAGAGGTACTAAAATCCAGTATTTTTGTTAACAGCAAAGGTTAAATACACTGACGCTACTATTAAAATAAAAAAAAGATCAAAAGAAGAAAAATCTTGTGAGAAGCAATATTTGCCTGTCAGGTTGCTCTCTGGAGACAGACTCCAAATAACAAAACAATCAAAACGGCTAGTCCATTGCCCATTTAGTTTGTTTTGTGATACATCCATATGGCTTATGGAGTTGCGAAATTTGATAGAATATCCGTTCACGCAAAATTCAAGTGCAGTTTAGTTGAGGGTACCCCCAGTGACAAATTAAGATGGGCATTTAGTAATTCAATGCTATGTTCCCATTACAATATGTATATCTAACAGGATACTGTGTTCCCTACCAATACTTACCCTGTCTGTGTCCTCTATAATAATCACCAACAAAGGCATTAGAATATGCTCATAATACAATAATTTTATTCTTAACATCTGCTTACTGAATCTGCCAGGTATGTCTGCACAAAAACAGTTCAAGGACTTATTATTATATGAACCAGCATAGGATAGTCCAAAAACCTCTGTTCCCTAACGTAGGAGATAAGTGGAGGCTTTATTTTTCCAATGTAAACACAATGTTTGCAATGTATAACTCTTCATGTGGAAATGGGGTATCAACAATCACCTTTTGTGATAAGAAGAGGTTCTGTAGTTAGTTTTTCCTATTGCCTTTGCAGCTTGGAATATCCTTGTTTCAACCTATCCCCTTCATGCCACCGATTTCCAAATGTGTTATTTAGTTGACTTTTATTCCCCTCCCTTTTAGCATATAGTGATATACACACTGAACATATAATTATTAATAAATATTTTATGCAATTTCCTGTAAGTATAAATTTATTGAAACACTTAATATTGCAAATGAAATAATATTGGATTGTAAAGAAGATTTTTTTTTTTTATTCTTTTTTTTTTTTTTGTGCACAAGAGAACAAAGAATGTTGCAATGCCAAAACAGCATGTACACAAGCATGAATTACCTTAAGAAAACACCTTGCATAAGGTTATATACAATGAAGAACGTTGTGTTACTAGGCATTTTGATGACACTGCACAATTGTATGGTGTAATGAAAGCGGGCTAGACAGACATGTCAGAGGACACTACCCACATTAAATAGGAAATGCTAAACATGGTGGATAAGCAATGTACACAAACAGGCTAGGTAAACAAACAGGTGAATCTGTCTTAGACACAAAGATAGTGAGTAGCATGCCCCTTAGGCAGTAACTTGGCGTTAGACTTCACATGACCAACAATGTTATCCACCTTTATTAGACTGAATAAAGCCATACAAGCATGGGCGCAGGGACATCAACTGTGGCCCCCAGGGCTTTGTTAGTGACTCAGGCACTGGAAATAAAGCTAGATAGGACCTTTTCCCGAGCTGACCTATCATTAGATGTACTCAGCTTCTCTGATATCAGTGTGGGAATCTTCCCTCTCAAGTGGAGCATTGCAAACCCAGAGCCAGGGGTAATAGGTGAGTTTTTTCCCTCATACCCCCTTGTACATACTTTGTTTGGTCCAGATGGTCTGCACTATTCTTTGTTTTTCTATATTTACAGATCAGTTTGTGTAACACTTTTGTGGTAACTATTTCTCTGATATCACCATCATGTATGGGTGCACCTTAGTTTTGGCGTAATTCTCCTTCTCCAAGGGTCTCCAGCAGGGATGGGCTCAAAACTCATTAGGTGCATCACTTTGGTGACACTCAATGGCTCTGCTCTTCAGACGCCCCCAGAAGTTGTCAAATAGGGTGTTGAGCCAGGTCTCAAAATCAAACTATGCTACTCCAAGGTTGGAGAGGCACACAGCCCCCCTCCATGTTGGGTAAGTTAGGGCAGAGTTCCTCCACCTGGGTGGCTTTGCCCCTCTTTCTTGTTGGGCTCCAGTAGCCCCTCAGGTGTGGTCTGGGATTGTCCCACAGGCCCAGTGGGGGGGATGTGTAACAGGACTTTTGCAGGATAGTGGCCTCTGAGGACTTTCGAGTCAGGAGATCATCCGCCTCTCCTGCCTGGTGCTCACTAGGCCCAATATTTGTAAAATAAAAAAGGGGGCACATTCTTTACACATAAAGCAATTAAGGGGTCTGGGGAGTACCTTTAAGTACAGTAACTGCAAGAGATTATGTTGTCCAACCTCTCCCCACTCCCTTTCTTAATTTTATATTAAATGTTTTATACTAACACTGTAAAAAATAGAATACATTAATGATAAAAGAATGCTGTACATAACTTCTTTTAGTATTGGGATGTAATGCAGAAGCCCACAATTATCTCCATCCTAGATTGCCCTCCTGCCCCTCTTGCCTGTCCTAAGGAGGTTGTTCACACATTGTTAGGCTTTTTCTAAACATAGACATCTTGCATACTATTAGATGAAGTAAAAGATCACAATAAGTAATTTGTGGAGAATTTTTATTTTTATTTTACTTTTTTCAACAGGTATGATAAAATAGGTCATCATCATTAATTCATCTTTATAGGTAAATCTCCCACCCATGGAGAAAAATGCATAAGCAGAAGTATTAAGACACAGATCCTAATGTCAGTTCAACTAGTGGTTGTTTCTGTTTCAGTAAGGGGATATGTTTCCCTCTGGCAATTAATACTTTACTGACCCTGAAGACTCTGGGATATGTTTCCCCCCAAAAATAATTTATGTTCCTTTGGCTATGTGTATTCACAGAGTAGTTAGCAGATTGGCTAGTTTTAGATATCAGCTCTCATCACTGTCAGTAATACTATCTGCTTAAGCAAATCTCTCTCTTACATATATTTTAGTTTCACTGAGCAGACAATATTTACAGATCTGTGGGGGCATGTAATCCATGCATTATTCTCTGCAATGCAATGTTAGACCAACATTCAATTATGGAGGCCCTTAATCTCAAGGCAATGCAGGAGCGTACCTGTCCTAATCTGGCTGAGATTAGCGAAAATTACGTTACTATGTGACAGGTGCTAATTCAGCCATCTTCCAATAATGTTATTTATTTAGAGAAGATAGAGAAAACTTGTCTGCCAGCATATCACTATTGGAAATGAATTAAAAGGATACTATAGGCACCCAGACCACTTCAGCTCATTGAAGTGATCTGGGTGCACTGTCCCAGGTCCCTAAACCCTGAGCACATAATTATTGCAGCTTTTAATAAACTGCAATTATTACCATCTAAGGTTAACTCCACCTCTAGTGACTGTCACCCAGACATCCACTAGAGGGACTTTCGGGTTGTTATGTCTCCTAACTGACACTGGACGTCCTCACGCTATGCATGGGGATGTCCAACGTCACACAAAACCCATAGGAATTTATTCAACCCCATTATATAACCCCATTGAATAATGCTTTCCTATGGGGAAATCCTAATGCGAGTGCAGCCATTTCCGCACATGCGCATTAGGACTCCTCCGCCGGCTGACGCCAATGGAAGAGGAAAGAAGGCGGACCCGAGCCAGGTCAGAGGGACATCGGCGCTGGACCTAGGTAAGTGACAGAAGGGATTTTTAACCCCTTCTGCACCCGGGGGTGGGAGGGTAAGCTATAGTGCCAGGAAAATTAGTTTGTTAAACACAGCTTGGTAAACAGAGTCCATTAGGAAACTGCCTGCAGACTTTTCTTTTATATGCTATGCTGCGAAAAATATAAAAACAGCAATTGAGAGATGAGTGCTTTCTATTCATGATTCTTCCACAAGGAACCTGCCCCTCTACAGATAAATATTAATCTACGCTTAAAGGAACACTATTGTGTTAGAAACACATAGCTGTATTCAGTGTAACAGTATAACACTCACACTATAATGTCACTCTGTCTCTGCACCACCGCCCCAGAGCGGCAATCAAGGGTAAATAATGCTTTTGAAAGCACGTGCGCGGATTTGCAAGACGTTGGGCGGCCTCATGCACAGCATGAGGACGTTCAGAGTCGTTTCACAGAGTTAAACCTTAACCATGCAGTCTTAACCTTGCAATGTAAACATTGCAGTTTCTCTAATCTAAGGATACAGGGATAATGAGACGAAGTGGTCTGGGTGCCTATAGTGTCCCTATAATGTCACAGACAGACAAATACAGGACAGATACAGGATAGATACTGCATAACTTTTACTATGTCTCAAAAGAAAAAAAAAATCTCATTATTTCCTTGAATGCATATTGCTCCATTTTATTTTACAATAAAGAGGCCTACACAGTCATGAAAATCTAATCCTTGAAGACTCACTTATTTGGCTATACAATAACCATACAAGTCTCACAAGGTGTTGTAATCAGAGCAGTGGATTAAACAGATACAATAGTAGTTTTTGACTAGTTAAATATGAGAAATATAAGTGAAATATGAAAAATATTAATATATTAATCAATTTTTATTTTTGGCAAATGGGCAGACCTCTTAGGGCATGTTGTCATGAGTTTAAAAAAAAAATCTTCATTTTATTTCTTCACTTCAACAGCAATAGTGTTGTTTAGACGTGATAAACGGACTTGGTGAAAAGTTGTCTTAGAACTCCTAAAGGTGTGGCTCTCATTGAAAACAGCACACACCCCTCAGGTAAGCAGTCTGAGAGACAGCCCATACCTGGCTTTTTAAAAAACCTGATAGGCCATCTTACTTTGTCCACCACAGCCCCTTTATATTATGTGACATACATAAAGCCATTGCCTTAAAATGGGCAGAGCAGTCTCCCTTCACAGGAGATTAAGTTTCTTTTCATTTACCTTTCTACTCTTCAAAAGAATTCTTCCCCATTAACTCACCCTCCTTTTCTTCCCTCGTGGTTTCAAACTCTGAAATAATTAACTCATGTTTTTAAAGAAGAAAATGCTTCTATTAACCCTTTGATTGTATGAATCATTTGAAAATGTTGTGCTATTCTCACTTTCTCTACCTTTTTCACTTTTTTCTCTCTTGTTCTTTTTTTCTCTTTATCTTTGTTCATCATTTAAGACAGGATAGGATAGAGATCTCCTCCGTGGAATGTTCCTTACAGCTACTGAAAGGTGAGTAAAGATAAGATTAATGTCTGGTAGAACGCAGCATAATGTCTGTAACACTTTATAGAACATCTGCCACTAACATTTTATATTTTAATCAGTATATGTATCAAAAATGTATTGAGCTATTTGTGTTTCCTATGTCTCTGCATGTGCTATTGAACAAACTTGGCATTTTCTTATTACACTACATCCCTGTAGAGCAGGGATAGGCAACCTCCGGCACACCCGGTGTTGTGGACTACATCCCCCATAATCCTCTTACACCCATAATGCTGGCAAAGCATCATGGGAGGTGTAGTCCAAAACATCTGGAGTGCCGAAGGTTGCCTATGCCTACTGTAGAGAAACAGTTCTGTGGAGTGAAACTACTGGGTTATTTACTAAACTAGTTGTAAATGTATGTCCATAATAACCAAATTAAAAAATATCTTTTTTTTTTGATGGTTTACAATTATGCCCTTTCCTTATCAGCTCTTGACAAGTTCCAGTTTAGCAAATAAACTCATAAATCTCAATTTGACAGGTTATAACTATTCAGTCCAATTATACTGTTATGGATAGAAATGCCCCCTGAATTAGTATACATTGAGCATTTACTTATGATTATTTAAGAGGTGACCATTGAAAGAGATACAGAAAGAAGGAATTAACATTTTTTTATTTTTACTGATTTTATTTGTTGTAGGAACAATGATTATGTACATATCAACACAACCCTTATAGGTCTTGCTCAGACAAACAATGTCAACTGTTACATATTGCACTAATAGCAACTAGTAATGCTCGTTTTCTGTAACAATTTTTTATTAGTTCCAATTTACCACTGTTTAATACACATAGTATACAATACATTAATAAAACTAATATAAGTATTTTTTCCAACCAGAACACAAATAAGATATTTTCTAGTAAAATGTGAAGGTTCATGAACATTGTTTACTGTGCAGCAGTCTTAGAATGATCCTCGACATCATATCAAGTTTAAAATAAAGGTTACCATTGCTAGGGGGATGACCCATGCTGGAGTCCCTTGTGGGCTCCAAAATAGACTATGGTCTGATTTAGGGACATTTTCATTGTTAGCTCAGTGTTTTGAAAATATGCAACTGAAAATTTTATTCCTCTCTCCATATTAAAAATTGGAATCCTGACATACAATTTACCCCAGGGCTTAAGCCTAGGGTCTTTTTCCAACTTACAATGCTCCTGGTGTTTTTCAAAAAAATGTCTGCAATTTTGTATATGTGTGCATCTGCACAAATGTACATGAAAACAGACACCAGGGTGTAACATTTCAAGCTAGGCTTTAAAAGTTACTCACCACTGTAAGCTTTTAGTGTCCATGACATACTTACCAGGGGTTAATTTCTGCCCTCCAAGGGGCGATTTTCACTAGCCAATGGCCAGTTACAAGTAGACATTTAAAAGCCCTGCACACACAATAATTATAATGTAGAATCAGTAAATATATGGATGGATGGATGGACACAGGCGCATAGAAAACAAAGATGAGTAGAGATTTCAACTTTGGAATGGAACACAAACACACACACAGAGATTATAATTGATTTTTTGCAGGTATTGCAGGAAATTGGTTATTCAAACCAATTATCCATCCTATTACTTACTGTGGCAGAAGTGATGTTTAATAATAATGCAGCCTGCACTGAGCATTCATTTGCTGGCTTAGTTTATTCTGTAAACTTGCTCTTGAGATATATACATCTTGTTCGGCCAATAGTTAGAATTGAACACCATTCCAAAGTTGATTAAGGCAGACAGAGAAGCAGATAGAGAGTTAAACATGTGGTAGATAGACAGGCAGTCAGACAGACAGACAGTAGCAATGGCTCTCCAAGATCATGGTAACCTCATCTAGCATTAGCATAGATGACTTTGGATTGTGGATAGTTAAGAACTTCTTAATTATTCTTAATATGACCTAAAAACTTGAATCAGGCAAGAAAAATATAAAGTTAAAAAAAATCTGATCCCACACAAACTTTATTCATTTGAGTGTGGAGAAAACACAAGGCAGTTCTTAATGTTCTACTGAAGATTATGGATGCATCACTTTGCTATTAGAGTAGTAGAGTGACCATCTAGGCAGTACAATCCAGAAGTATGGGATTAACCCCTTAAGGACACAACTTTAGAAATAAAAGGGAATCATGACGGAATATTTCCGTCATGTGTCCTTAAGGGGTTAATGCTTAACCTGTTCATACAGATAACATGTTTAATTCTAATTTTCTAAATATTCAAACCTAAGGAGACCATTTGTTTCAAAATATTTTAGTCACACGTGATACATTTTATTTTAGAACTTCCTCCATTTTTCTAGGATTTAAGCTCGTTTGAGAAGGGCCATCCACACCCTCTGTGCCTGTGCATCCAACTCAACCTGTTACAAATACTTGCCTGTTAGTCCACCCATTGCACAGCACTATAGAATTTGTTGGCATTTAATAAATAATAATCAGTAATAATAGAATACTATTGAGATAAGGCTACTGTTATCTGCTGTGTGGCCAGAAAGCAGTATAAGGTGTTTTCTACTTTAGAGGTTCATTGATCTGGAATTGCAGGAATTTAAAAGATGTAATCTAATATATAATTTATAAGCGTTTAGATTATCTGAACTGTGCTGCATGACATATTTAACTTAAGTTAACATACAATCTTCCTATAGCTAAACCCAATCAAATGAGGGATTTTAAAGGTTAGCAGCTAATTTATATGACTGCCCCATCATTTTAAACAAGATAAGGAATTATTGAAAAGAATCTAGATGCTAACATCTACGCAGAATTCTTAAATCTGTATATTGGAGTTTGTGTGTGACTGTGTCCCTGTTTCTGTCTGTGTGTTTGGATTATAACATCAGGAAATGTTGGTGACAGATATACTTTAATGACTCTAATACTGCACTTGCATAATCAATTGATGGCAGTTGTTTTATAATAATAAAATAAATTAGATCAAATATCAGCTCTGTGGGTGCCATGTTTTCCAAGCATTAAATTGTTAAATTATATTAAATTATTTGCTATGTTTTTATATGATCTCTTTTGATAATATTTCAATTTTCTACACTAATTCTTCATCACTAAATTGTGAGCATTCATTTAAATGCATAGACATACTTTGTCTCTTCTGAGTCTACACACACACACACACATATATATATTCCTATTATTAATTTAATTTTTCTTGTTATCTTGAGTATACACCATTCCTTATATTTCTAAATTCAATGGTATCCAACTTTTTAAATTGCTAACAAACTTTTAAAATTTGGGCATTGTGGGCCAAACTTAATCATTGATTTTCCATAATGGTATTTGCTAATGTATTTAAGAAGCCTATTGCTGTATAGCCTTTATATTGTTTTTACTCACATTATTTTAAGTACAAGCAAAAATTTACATATAGATTTATTGACAAAGAGTGCTATCCATTTTATGTGGCGCAATTCTAGTTTGTTATGTTAAGTTATTTTGTGTGAACATATAACTGGAACAACGTTGAGTAAATATATTTGCATCATCTTCAATCAGTCTGGAAAATGTCTCACGTGGACAGATTATGAGATCTCAGACATTAAAGAGAAACTGTTTATTGACAAAGGAATATTGTGAGAATTATTTTTGGTCCATTTCACTTTGCCAGCATAGCTATGAGATAATTTTGCCTCCAGCATATTTATTTATTTATTTATTTTCTACTCAATCCAAACTCAGTTTAGACCAGGCTTCTGCCTGTTCCTGAACTGATAGCTGTTTACTCTGCAAAAGCACGTTTAGACATGCCCAGGAGATGAGAAACGTTTTAACTTGGTGCAGACTGCATAGAGGAATTCAGACTGCCAGGTGTGTTCTGAACCATATATGGAGTTTGGACGTTCCCCAGCAGCAACAGGCCCAGACAGATAAAGGGATAGTCAGATGCAAATCTAAGGTTTAGATTGCTCTATAACTGGTTAGGATCTAGTAACTTTTATAAATGCAAATGCATCTAGTTAAATTAATACAGTTCTAAAATATCCTAAACATAGTCTTGACAATGTAGATATTTTGAAAAGCAGATATGGTTTACATATTTTAAACTTTTTAGTACATATGGTATTGAGCATTTTAGATGTCAACTATGCCATGTCTATTTAAGCCAGCTAAAGACACATAACTGGGTCCATACCATGTTAATGTGTTCCCATTGGTTGAAAAAGGGACATCACATTTATCGTGACTGCAGTGTATTGCTTAAAAACAAGTATTTATTGCAGCATCAATACTTTTTCACACTGCTAAGGAGACAATTTCACAATTATAGTACTCTGGTCGAAAGCATTTTTTAGAATTTATTTTAAAAATCCTGTTGGAATCTGTAATTTTATTTTTTTAATTTTTTTTTTAATTTTTTTTAATACATGGAGTCTCATAATTTAGTTTATGGCTTTCCTCTTGCAAATTAATGGTGTCAGCAATAAGCAAATGAGGCATCCAGTCTATCATAGCAAGACATGTTTAAAATTATGTTCTTTTTTTGGCAGAATAAATGACATTTTGATTAATCTGCTTCAAGGTCTTAATATTGAATCATATGCGTAAACCCCATCCCCCCCACCCCCTCCTCCAAAAAGGCTGGAACTTAGCACTCGATATACCGGCCTACATTTATACCCAAATCAATGCTGAAAACATTAGTATTAAAGTATTACTCTGAACAGACAACTGTCGTAGATAAAGGATTATCTTTCTTATTTTTTTGGTCTTCTTGAATTTATTTATTCCAAAGGAAATGAGACTAAAATGAAATGTTGCTTTAAACCCCTCATAGGGATCTTTCTATGGAAGTATTGTCACTGTTATATATAATAAAGAAATTACTTTCATTTTAAACAATTCTTTCTATTTAATGCTAACTTAAAGTTATTACTGACGTCCGCAATACTGGCTCTGTTCATATTAAAACTGTGCTATTAATATGGTCATTGGGGTGCAAAATTTAATCATTAAAAGATTCCCGCCAGCATGCAGACTGTTTAGTAATATTAGATGGGTATCCGAACTGTTATTTCTTAATAACTTTCAGTGTATAATTCTATTGTTTTTTATATTTTTTTCTAGATGGTGTGTAACTGAAAAAAATGTCTACTACTGCCTGGTAATTATTACTTCGAGATCAGAGCAAAATCAGGATTCTTCTAGCTGTGACTCGAGACACAAGATGGAGCACACAAAAAGAGACACAAGATGGAGCACACAAAAATCCACTAAGCCCCATTACCAATAAATTTTATTTTGCTGGGGATTTTTCTTTTTACTCTATGAAAGAATGATAGCCCAATGACCTGAGACTCATGCGTACAACCAACTTTCTGACAGCTTCAACTTGGTGGGTTTAACAAGTGATCCACATGTCCTACTGTCCTTCATTCCACCGGAGTCTGTTTCATACATAACCAGATTTCAGTGGGGTGAAGCACAAGAGGCGTGTTACAGCATCAACACAACAGTAAAAAAAACTTTAAAAAAAAGTCTGCTGTGATTATGGCAGCCATCTTTAATTGGTTTACTATCTAATACTGAATTATTTGGTACTTACAATGTCTAAAATGGAAATATTTAATGGTATGTGAATGTGTGTTTTTTTACAGTTAAATATACCCAATGTGGATGACATGTTTATTATTTTGTCATTTGTTTTTTGCTAGATTCAAGGATATATTTTTATATCAATCCAACACAGCATTGTGAAAAACCTGTTAAAATGGTTATTGTTAAAATGACAAAAAAATTTGATTATATGTTTGATTTAAAAACACAATACCACAAATCATTTTCAAAATGATGGATGTTGAAGTTGAGATATCATTCTTATGCAGTTTGATAAACAATCACTAGGTTTTGAAAAGTTAAGTCTAAATTTGATCTATGTGGATAGATCACTTGCTATAATGTTACCGTTTTTTTTAAACGGACTATACCTGGAATTCTAAATGCAAGCAAAACAACCATAGTGTAAAGCTGATGTGAATATTTGTTTGCACAAAACAGACCTTTTTGGAGAAGCTTCGTTGTTAAACTTGCAAATTCTATAAAATTACATTTTATTTTATTTTCTGACATTATGGCTTTTTGTCTAATCGAGGATGAATTTAGAGTCTATGGTGCACTAAAGAAAGAATTCAAAGTGAATTGAAAGTGAATTCCAAATGTAAGACTAGAGAAGCCGAACTGAATGCATAGCTGACTAGGGAGCTCTTCCAGTTTGGATATTTTGAACCTAATTTTGAAATTCACTTTGACTTCTCACTTTAGTGCATAACCCTTTAAATCAGCGGTGCCCAAAAGGTAGATCCCCAGATGTTATAGAATACAACTCCCATGATGCTTTGTATGCCTTTAGAATCATCTAAGGATCTACTTGTTGGGCACCCCTGCTTTAAATGAAAAGATAATGCAGGAAATTGTGGTAATTTGATTTATAGTTGAGTAGTCCACATACTTTTACATTTTACCAAAACATTGCTTTTATCTAACATTTGCATAATACAACTGATGTCATATCTGTATTATTTTACGATAAGCTTATTAAACCAGTTCTCTATATTACTACAGAGACAGGTAGGGGGCAACGCTGAAACAACAAGACACTAATGGTCAAGAAAAATCATGGGTGTTTGATGGTATAAGACTGACAATACAAAGTAAAGTACCGTTTGGGTTATATCCTTGGGCAAATGACCCATAAAACCCTTTATCTTTGTTGTTTTTAATCCTGGGTTCCTGTTATATGAATTTTATTTATTATGAATGGAAGATGTCACTAAAGAAATAAAAAAACTCTAAAATACTATTGTTACTGACATTTATGCTTCACAGTGATAAAAAACATACAGAAAAAAATGTAATTAGTCTAATCTTGTCAGTATCATTATCTTGCTATCTGATAATGTTGCCTTATTTAATAATGGATTCTGCAATATAACATTTATACGATACACAATGTATTAATATTTTTTATTTTGTTTACAAAATGTTTTCCAGAAAGTAGTAATATGAAATGTATCTTGCTTTCAAGTATATGCAAAAGAAAAGAAAAAAAGTTAATGTATATGCCAATATTGAAGACATTATTAAAGGAACACTGTCATTTATTCTGTAATGGTTCTGGTGCCAGTAGTGGCCATGGGCCTCCCCTACCTTCCATTGTAAGAAGTCAAACATTTTTGGACTAATTGATTTCTTACCTAGGGTCCACCATGTGCTGCTTCCTGACTCCACTACAATCATCTGAGAGCCGGATGTTCATTTGCAGGGTTTTCTGTTAATGCAGGGGAAAAGGATGCAAGAGCTCAGGAGAGTTAATGTCAGTTAATGCGGATTAACTTCCTGTTCTCAGGAGATTGTAGTGGAGACAGGGAGCAACACCCAGCAGAGCCCAGGTAAAAAGTCAGATTGTTCAAAAATGCAAATGTGACAGGGCACTAGCTCAGTAGAAGTGCTGATTTCAAAAGACGGTGTTGCTAGGTTATAGAATAGAGGTGATTTAATTAGTTTATTTAACAGGTATTGGGAGTTAAAGTTGGCTTAGGCAACTCCTTAGATGAAGTTGTTATGGTGTATAAACTGTCCCTTTCAATTTTAATTTAGCCTTGAATTCTCTTTTAGTGAATAACCCGGACATACTTTTGCAAAGTACTGTTTGAAGCCTGCTCATACTTCTCCGTCTGTTCAGCAATTTGGCTAATCACACGTCTGAAATTATTACAAGATTAATGGGAATAACTTATTAGGTTTTGAAATTGTTCTTGTGTAACTTTGACAGCTTGATGGCACAATCTGGGAGGCTTCTGGCATTCCGTTTGTTGACAGACACAGTCACCCTGCAATACAGTTGAAAAGGTTTTCTTCAAATAACATTTTTTGCAGTTCATGAATACACCATAATAAATAGTAAAAACGTCCTAAATTATTATTACTTATTTTCTATCTAAAAATACAGAATTATATTTTACTGTTATTCATATTCTGTAATCAGAAGTAGAAATGAAAATACATACTCATACATGAATCTGTCTGCTCTTCCATTGCTTTTAGACACGCTAACTTTTGCTAATGTTGCATCTCAGCTGTTGGGAAGGAGAGGTCCAATGGTACAGTGCTTGTTGCATTAGCAGGTGAAATTTTAGATCTGTAACTAGCACATATCACAAACAACTGGGATTGCAATATGACATAATTTATTAGTTTGCTCTACAGCAAGCATGTCAAATTCACGTGTCGCAGGCCATCTTTGCGCCCGGTGAGCCGCGAGTACATGCTTTGTGTTAAACCTGACGACATATTCCGGCACCACTAAACTGCGCGCAAGGGAGCAGTGAGGAGCAGATAGAAGATCCCGACTGGACCCCAGGGAGAAGCCCCACATCGGCTCCCAAAATTAGGGAACAATAAAGTAAATGATGTGTGTGCAAGAATGTGTAAATGTGTGTGTGTGTCTGTCAGTGTGTATGTGTCTGTCAGTGAGTGTCTGTGTGTCTGTCAGTGAGTGTGTCTGTCAGTGAGTGTGTGTGTGTGTCTGTCTGTCAGTGAGTGTGTCTGTCAGTGAGTGTGTGTGTGTTGGTCAGTGTTGCACTGGAGAGTGGAGTACCTGGAGGTGCATGGAGGCACGCAACGCCACGTCACATTCCGACGTTACATCGACGTGCTCCACCTTCACAGGGTTTCAAGAAGTAGCGGGAGGATCAGATTTGGCACAGGGTGCAGACGGCGCTATTTGGGGTATACCAGAGGCCGGACTCGCATACTGGCAGTGGCAATGTGAGTGGAGTCTGCTTGTTGGCTAGAGGGGGGTGCTGGGATTTAGAGTAGAGGGGTAGGACTGGGATTTAGTACACTGGGGGGACTGGGATTTAGTAGAGGGGGCGCTGGTTTTTATACTGTACTATGAAACTGTAAGTTTTTGGGGTTTTTTGCAGCACACATAATCTTAAACCTTGTTCATGTGGCCTGTGCTAGACTTTGAGTTTGACATGCTTGTTCTACAGCATACTTAGCTATAGGCGAGGGAGAGAGAGATTTCTTTGACCAATGGCACAGGCCTGCCATCACTTAAAAAGATATGTCTGAAGAACTTGACTGGCATTTTTTAAAATTAATTTTATAAAGCTAATAAACTTGTGTATGCCGTGATCGTTCAGTTATTCCGAACAAATTTTACATTTTTCTTGGGTATTATAACTCTCATCAATGTGACAGTTCGGCTCAGCTGAAATTCATTCAAGAAAGTAATTGAGACACCTGATCTCTTCAGCTGCATGAGGGTTAATCATCTGGGCGGTCATCTTTTACAAGCCAGTCACCACACTAATATTCAATAAAACTAAATAAATACGTTTAAAATAAAAATCCTATGGGGGTTAATATGTCCACCATATTAGTATAATGGAGCTAAAAAAAAATCTTCCTTATGCCCCCACCAGCAGCTTGTCGCTGGTGGAAGCATGTCTACTAAACAGTGTGTAGCCATCAGCTACCAATCTTAATTACTGCTGCCCAAACACTAACAGAGTCCCTATCCCATGGTTATGGGGCCTGGTAAACACTGGGGGAGAGAGCCTAGATGGGAAATGCAGGAGTCATCCTAGTGTTCATCTAGGCCCCATGGGTGTGGCTTTTTATTAAATAAACAGGGAGGGCACATAGGCCTTGATTTAATGTTGTTGTATAAACTTTTAAAATAATTTTATATTATGAGAAACATTAACATTTTGCAATATATAAAAAAAATTATAAAAAAAAACCAATACTTCCTAAAAGGAATACAAAAGCTATAAACCCTCGCCAACCCGCCTCAGATGAAGGCGCAATTCCTTGTTATTTCTTTTAATATCACTATGGGCACACATTTTTTTTTTTTATCACTTTACTTTGTTTTGGTGATGGGGTTTGATTTATAGGAACTGTATTTAGATAGACTCCCTAGGGATAAGTTAGCTAATATTGATCCTTGCTGAGCCTGGAACTTTTTTTAGCTTAGGGGCCAGATTTTGATGAGGTTTCTTTCTTATATAGGACTTGGCTGTATAGTCTATGGACTTCATTATTGTGGCTTACTGGCTTATGTCACTTTTTGATATTATGTTTCAGGACAGTTGGATAATATGTATGTCTGAGCTGCATATGAGGGACTCTTGTTTATTGGGCTAGGTTTCTACTGATTCTAACCTCTAATACAGGCTTCCCCAAACTGCGGCCATCTAGATGTAGTTGAACTACAACTCCCATGATTCTCAGCCTATCGATTTCATTCATAGAATTATGGGAGTTGTAGTTCAGCAACATCTGGAGGGCCGGAGTTTGGAGAAGCCTGCTCTAATTTATGGTCATCCTGTGAATTTCCTTTAATACAATTTTCATGTCTGATTTTAGAAGGAATTAAGGTTTGTGAATGGTTTAGATCTAAGACTGAATTTAGACTGTCTAATTCAAATTCACATGCTTTTTAAGAGAGGGTTAGTTTTCAGCACTATAGCCCACATGAGTTATGCAGCTGGAAGTTCTGATTCACCTTAATGATCACTGCTTTCTAATTGTTTCATCTAATGGTACAATCTAAATATCTTTGCTCTTAAACAACTTTTTTCTATAGTTTGGAACCATCGTTGACTTCATTTAAATACCCCTGCAAAGGGAGTCTTATAGTTCACCTTTCTATCAATAGATTTACCGGTACATACATGGGAAATATATCATCCTTCAAATTTTGTAATTGTTATATTGATCTATAAGACATTTCCCAGTTTCAAGTGGTATTCAACTATCTATCATGACTTTTTAATCAATTAACTAATAAAGTTTATGTTAGTTTTATTGTTGAGGGTTTATAACTTCTGCTTTCCTTAGAGGAAATATAGTTTTTTTTTTGTTTTTGTTTTTTAAGTATTTGATGCTCAGTATAGGGTTACCCCCTTGGCACCCTTACTAGGCAACCTTATCAGAACCCTTATGGTGTAAATATTTTCAAATATTTCTTTTTTTTAAATGTTATATATGATTTTTTTTTTATATTTTGATATGTTGAAAGTGATTTTAAAAGTTCATCTAAAAATATTAAATTATTTGGAAATCTTAAACAACAATATTAAATTGAATTAAAGACATAGTGCCCCTCAATCCCATACATGGACAGCTGGTGAGGGCCACCGATTAACTAGGCAGGTGGTGTGGAGGGACAGCTACCTGTCCATGAATTGCCTTTCTGATATTATGTGTGTTTCCCCATCTCTTCGTATATTGTGCCTGCTCCCCGTTCAGGAGTGCATCCACAAAGGGAATTCATTTGCCTCCCGAATGGGGACCACCCCGATACCTCATTTAGAATGTTAGTTTAGAACCTTCACACCTCGCAACATAAGTGGTAAACCGCAAACTGCAAGGGAAACAATTAATGAGCACTCCCCTGGGTGGCCGCCATTTGTACAGACAAATGCCAGCCAGGGGGAGCATTCGTGGATTGTTTCTTGACTCATTCATTTCCCGAACGAGGACCTCTCCAGTGCCCCATTACAATGTTCACACCAATTAATCAGAATGTTCTCACTTGCAACCTAAGTGCAAAACTGCAAGGGACGTAATTAATGAATGCTCCCATATAGATGAATGCCGTCCAGTGGGAGCATTTGAATCCCGAAAGCAGACGCTTCCCTTGCAGGATTTCACACATGGACCTTACGAGTGCAGACCGGCCGAGGGAGGTACCGCTGTGAGGGCACTGCTGGGGCACTGGCGAGTTGGGCGAGCTTTTCGGTGCCTGCAGGGACAAATAAATCAGCTCTTTTCCCACTGGTGAGCTTTCTGTGCCTGGAAGACAAAGGGATTGTCCCTTATTCCTGCACCTAGAATCCTAGGCACAGAGGCTCCTGGGAAGAAGACCCCCTGACAGTGGGTGTGGGAAACCCTATACCTTTGTGACGGGAGTTGGGGACCAAGGGAACAGAGTTCTTTCACGTGCTGGGGAGCCAGGGAGGGGACACTGGAAGTTGGTATGATACACTTCTTGCATGGGGTATGTAAAAAAGATGTGTGTGGCCAATAAAGGGGTTGTTGTATCTCCAGGACTGTGTGTTGTCCAGTTACTGGGAGAAGATGTATTTTGTATTTTAAATGGTTCCTGATCGACTGAAGGAATGGAATCAGTGGAGGTTACCGGTCGGGTTACCTGTGGTCCGCTACAATCGGATGATGACAAGTAAAGAAGAGGGAAAATCCCAATGTTTCCCCAGCCCCCACCTATTAAAGAATCATTGGTGCAAGAAAGGGAGGAGACATTAAATAAACAGGGAACATCATTAAAAAAAATCATGGGCTGTGGGTGGGGACTATTGATTAACAAATAGGGATTCTCTAACAGAAAGTATCATGAAGAGGACTAAACATTGTTTCTATTCCCAAGGCGATAAAGCCAGGAAATTATTGGCAGTCAAATAATTAAAAAAAACAGCAGATGCTGTCCATTAAAGCACAAATACCAATTTGACTGGAGAACCACATCACTGGGAAACCTTAGTATTCACCTCACTAAATCGTCTAGTACTTTGCTAAAGAGAACCACTTCTCAACAAAGTGAAATACAAACTGGAGGGGTCAGCCAACCTGGTAGTGTCATGGCTGGTCTGAATCAATACAGTGAAAATGGTTAACCAACTGGTATTGCATGCTCTTCCACATGCTGCCAATAACCATTCCAGCTTTCATACTAAGTAAGTTTTAGCAAATTCATAAATGTGCATGTTTGTAAATGTGCATGTAAGTTACTGTAGCTTTGCCTGGAGGACTCACTCATGAGTTCCTTTTCTATTCACCAACTTCTTTGGGTCCTCAGTCACCTACACCAGCCCTAACAATGTTACAAATACTAGATTTTCCCTTCAACTGTGGCACAGATGGATTGAAAAACTCAAAAGCCTTACTCCAAAACTTTTTTTTAGCCCCATTGGTTTTGCTCCAACTGTATATTCAGGATATCTTTCTCAAACCATGGATGCAGGCACATATTATAAGATCATTTCCGATTCACAGAAGAGGCAATTTCTAGACCTTTCCAGAGCCAGACCTCCACAGTGAATTTCTACTCTCCCATAGAGAACGGCTCACAGTGGAGTTTTTCTTGTTTTTGTGCTCCCTAGGCATGACAAAACTGAGCCCCTCCCCCATCTAAATTTCTCTTTATTTTTAAAACCAATCTGCTCATTGCCTGACAGACACACACCCTCCCTGATGCATACACTGACATACACTCAGTGACAGATACAGTCATTGGCACACACATTGTTTAACCAACACACACTTTCATTGGAAACTCCTTGCTACTGGCGGGCTGCATGCACCGAACAGTCTGATTGGCGCGTGGCCTGTACAGTATTGGGAGCGCTGCTCACATTGCGAACAAGTTCTTAAAGGGGAAATGGAAGCCTAACCTTGCGGTCGGCTCCCATTGGCCCATGTTATTCTGGTGCCCCCATTCAAGCATGTTTTGGGTGCACAGGCATGAAGTGGACCAATCAAATTAAAAATAAAAGTATTTAAACTTACCTGGCCTTAGATTCTGTGCCATATTGTGGTTTCTGTTTCCAGTAACCTTTAGTGCATTCCTAATGATTGGTATTCTATTCTGGTATTGACCTTGGATTTGTTTCCTGACTCTGAGTTTCTCTTTAACCCTTGCCTGTCTTGTTTGCCGTTCTGATTTTTACCGTGTACCTGACTCTAGCTAGTTCTTATTTTCGCTGTCTCTCCGTTACCCTGACCTCGGCTCGTATTTCGACTATGCTTTTCTCTGTCTAACGGT